GTAAGTGCATTCACCATTCCTTCACGATTGACTAGTTAAAAAAATATTCAAAAATTTAATTATTAAGAAGAAAATACACGGGAGAGTTTCTTGCAAACTTACAATTAGAGTAGAATTTTATTAAAAGACAATTATTATAAGTTTTTTTTCGTTCCTCGCTAAAGAAGATTAAGGATGGTTAATAATAGTGGACCTCAATTTTAACAATTTTATGGAAACACTTTTTAGGTCCGATTTTCAGTAGAAACTTTTTTTTTTTTTAAGTAAGTCATATTTTTTGTTTAATAACAAGCGATAACTAAAAAAATTAATATTTAATTTAAGTAATTAACAACTGCATCAGATTAAACTAGAGGAAGTTTACTTCCAACTAAAGTAGAGTTTGTCAATTAAAAAAAAACTTTTGACCGGATAAACTAAGCTATATTGTGTTTAAAAAAAATTATGAATTTTTCCTAATTAAATATTTATAATAAGCCATTATAATCGACCAAAAAATTCAATCCCCTCCACCTCCCACGAAATTTGAGATTTTACGTTTCAGAATACGTAGAATTCGAAACAGGAATACAAACCTTTTTTTCCGTCCGGCGTCCGCGCATTTTCTCCGAAACTACTGGACAGATTTTTTTCAATTTTGGATTTAAAATCAGAGATCACTCAATGATTCTCCTTTTATTATTATTATTCTCCTTTTTCTTTCAAGATGGAAGCCCAAAAATCTGAATTGCTATAGACTGTAGCGCCTAAACGAATGTACTGATTTCAATGAAACTTGGCCAAAGTCTTCTTCTCGATGCCCTTTGAATTTATTTGTATAACATACTTCAACGAAAAGAAGCTAGAAAAAAAGTTACGAGGGATGGTAAAATTCCGATTAACTCAAAAAGTATACACTTTTTTGATATTGAACATGGTTAATTATAAGTTTTACGAAATTTCCTAAACATCGAAAATAAGGGTTTAAATCGGTCAATTTAGTTGGAATGACTTTTCATTTATTTTTCTTTGTTACTAGGAATCAAATCAATTAATATGGACTTTAACTTATTAAACATAGGGGAATTTTCCTAATAGTGGAGTATCTGTAATACAGTAGGAGAGTGATCAGATAATAATCGCTGTTTTTTTTTTAACAGAACATAGCTTATCCATCTAAAAGTCCTCTTGGAATGAAAAAAATGGTTGAAGAATGACAAACTCTAATTTCGTTTGAAGTAATTAAATAGTTGGTTTATATCATGCAGTTGTTGAATTAAATAATTTTTGTTATCACACTTAAAATAATACAAATTTTCTATTTTTCTGCCAAAAATCAAAGCATTGTTTATATAAACTTTTTTGTAACTCTTGAAGTCTACCTTTTTAAATATTTACCTCGTCTTATGGGACCCCCCTTTATAATATAGTATAGTCATTAATATTTTAATTTGAGAATCAGTTGATCGAGGATTGCTGTCAAATTATACTAAATTTTAAAAAATAGTATTTTTAATTATTACGCCGACGTTTCGCCCCACCTTGCAGGTCTACCACATGCCACGCCCTGATGAAGACCGCCAAGGTGGGTCGAAACGTCGGCGTAATAATTAAAAATGCCATTTTTTTTTAATTTAGAATTTATTTGACCCCTCGATCAACTCCTTCTCGAATTATATCACGGTCAACCACCCCTATATCAATATTTGTAATTATTCATATTATTTGGAAAAATATTTTGTACTATTTAAATTATATCATACAAAGCATGCTATGATTTGAAATTGTTCTTTTGTTAGTTTAATAGCATACTGTATTTATTGTAAATTAATTCATAATCCAAATATATCCTGTAATTATATTAATATTATTTATTATTCCATTTTTCAAATATCTTCATCTTAGTATAATAACCTATTGTTTGGATTCGAACTAGAATTGAGAAAGAATAAACTCAATTGGGAGCGCAATTATTCTGAGAAATGTGTTTCTGAAACAAAGAGCAATACTTTTTAAAAATATAAACATTTTATTATTCAACTAATTATTTATTATCTTAGAAAAATAAGTGTGCTATGCTGAAAAGAAAAATTAGACACGTGTTATTATTGTGTAGAAATCTTCGCGATTTCTTTATCTTCTTTACTTTAGAGATATTTTTAGTGAACTCGCTTTTTATCAAACCATTGTATAACTAAATAATTTGTACAAAGTGTGTCAAATTAAAGTTCAACGAAAAATTTAAAATTTTAGGTTATTAATGCATAACAACATAATTCCTACAATTGAATGCTTTTTTTTAAATTGTAAGGCTATAATTTGAAAAATCGAACCCCATAGCCTTGTGTCTCTACAATACAGGTAAACATAAACTAATTAGTAAAATGAAGAGTAATTATTTAAAATGAAGACTGATTATTGTAATTATTTTTAAAAATAAATACAATTTATTTATTTTTACTTCGTATTTTGACTAAAAACTCAAACCAATTTCTCTTTCATTATTTACTAATCTAATGTACGATTAGGTTAAATATAGACCTAGAATATTTAATTTTTTCATAAAAGTTAACTTTTTTACCGTTCAAACAACTGTCACGAATCAGATATCACTTTTCTTTAAAACATGTATCTAAGCCAAATTTAAATTAAATTTTCTCAAAACTGTGATATGTTGATTATTCCTTATACAATTGAACATTCCATAAGGTACTTTATAAAAAAAATACTTAATTCATATAAAATAATTATTAAAAAAACATTAAAGAAAGTAAGGTGCTTTGGTGTTTCAATAAATGTGATTCTGCAAAACAATTATTTCATGAAATATTATTTTAATTTATTTCTTCAAACGTTCAAACGTATTTAGAAACTAATTATACTGAATATTGTAGAATAATTAACTAAATTATAATTGTAAAATAATTTTATTTTTAACGAAGCTGATGGTTAAAAATGGTAAAGTGCCTAATGAATATTAAAAAGATCATTATAAAAGCTGCAGTAGAGATAATGTGTAAGTAATATACATATAAATAATAGTCATCATGAGACATAAGCATAAATAAAACCTATTAGTTAGTGCTTCTTGCGGTTTCGTGTGTTACGGCATTTGATTACTGTATTTTCTATATAGTTATAAAACGTTTTTAGCTTTCAATTGAAATCTTTAAGCGAGAAAATATTAATTATTAATTTCATATATATATACACACATATATAATCAGTGAACTTGCTATCGTGGGGAATATAAGAACTAGCGCTGTTGAAGGTAGTGGAGTGCCCAGCGGCATACCTACCTGTCTTGTATTTAGTATAGATTTTTAAGAGAGAAGACTTTTCTTTTGAGCTACCATCCAGCTTCTTTTGAGCCTCCTAAGTCTGTTATCAGTGTAAGTTATCGTGAAATATTTTATATTGTGTGTATTAATTTTCGGCACATGTAGGTCTTTATGTAAAGTAATATTTGTGATGCACCATGGAGCTATAGTTATAATTCTAAAAGTTTTAGACTAAAACATTGGTAGTTTGCATATGTGGGTCGTTTTGGCTTCTACGTATAACAGTGAAGCGTAGGTCCGAACGGGTTTAAGTAGATAAATGTATGTGTATAGTTTCTGTTTTAAATTTAATTTTGATCATCTTGAGAGAAGTGAGTAAAATGATCGTAGTCTGAGAATTAACGTTATTGTTTTGTTTTTTTTCTTCTGTCAAATGTCAGTCCAAGATATTGGAAAATTGGAGGAAAAGTTTCATGTCTAAATCTTAAATATATTTTATTGACTTATATATATTTTTAAATGCATCACAATAAGCCAAATTTAGTTGATTTACGTTTTATTTCAATAATACTTTTAAGGAGTAATTTTATAACCAAATAATGTAATTGGTAATAAGTAACCATTACCATTAAATTAATTTTTATTTTATTTAATAATAATTAGATAAATTTTAGGACCCATTTATCATTCTAAAATACATAAATAAATATGCCTTTATCAATATTAATAACTTTACTCAATTAATCACATATATTTGTAAAGTTTCGGCCCCTTGTTCATTTTCAAATATTTCGTTATTCATATTATTACTAACTCTCTAAATTTTTGTAAAACTGAGACAATATTCACTCTTTCAAATAAAACATTTTCTATCGGTGTTTGTGGTGAAAAATTGGTCCAAAAATTGTTTAATTAACTGTTCATAAATAAGCATTATTTAATCCCATTTTTATGCAATATACTTTATATATAAAAAATTAATAACCAATTTAAAGGTGAAAAAGTAATGTAAATTTTTTTTTGTTTACGTTTTCTAGATTATCAAATTTGTAATTGCATTTAAAAGAATATATATATATATATTTTAACTTTTCTTATTTATACATTAAATTTATTAAAAATGAAAAAAAAGTTTTCATATTATATTTAAAGGTCTAAGGCAAGCTTGGTTAACGGTGCTTGAACGAGTGCAACACTTTCTATAAGCCACGTAGACAACTGTATGACCTCCATTCAACCACGACGCTATCACGGATTTTCTCACAGTATTTCTACATTGTATTAAGAAAAAAATAAACAATTCATACAAGTTTTACTAAAATATATTTATATTTTTTTAACGCAACTTAAACCAAAAAAATAAAATAAAATAATCTCAGACATTAAAAAATACAGTTATAGAAACTGTCATGAGCATTCAATTAAAAAAAAAAAAAATTCTGAATTTCAGTAATAAATATTACCGCAATTTATTATTTATGAATACTTCATATTCCTAATTCCTTAAGGATTGATTCCTTAAGAATTAAAAATATATCAACAAGCATTCCTAAGTAGGCATATTTTGTATCTTACTGCATTAGGAGCCTAGAATTATTATCATTTATTTTTTTTAATGTTCATTAATAAATAAAACGATAATTTTAGGTATTGTATAAAAATAAATAAAGTAGAGTTCGAAAATACTCTTGAAGTTTGAAAAACTAATATATTATAATATAATGTATTATATAACCGTACTCCGGAGATAAACAATACTGGTCATTTTTGTTTTTGTTCTTGAGAGCCAATGTTCCATAATTCTACTAAATCTGTACTCCAGAGGTAAAAGACACCATGGTACATTTTTGTATTTGTTGAGGGAGTCAATTTTCCATAGCTTTGAGCTATAACAATTTGGTTCTTCGTTAGTAAATTATTTAATGAAAAAATAGACGTGGCTCTGTTTATCTTCTAGGTACAGATATATATATATATATATATATATATATATATATATATATATATATATATATATATATATATATATATATGATTTTTGGTTATATAAGATTTATTACGAAGGTCGGGGTCTTCTGAGGTGTCTCACTCGAGAAAGAATTCGACCTTTGATCATGAAGTGTAAACGATCAATTCAATGAAACACTATTGAAGATGACACAAGATACTATCATTATCAGTTTTCAATATGATTTAGGTATTTATATAGATGTTTTTTTTTTATAATATATATTTTTTTATAATATTGATAATAAATAATGCTAATTAAAATTTAAACAATATATATTTCAACAATATTCATCGATTTATTCGCAATTTTCCAGACATTTTCATTTATCAAGTATATCAAGCATAAAATCTGACCAAATTAAAAAAAAAATCTCTTGATTATATACACATAAGAATATGGAATTTTCTTTTCTTTTTGCGAATTAAAAAAAATTTCAAAATTAAAGCAAGTTTTTTTAATATGCACATTAAAGTAACCTATTAAATTATTGTTATCGTTAAAATCTTTCTAGTCACATCGTGAGGTATTCAAGAAAAGGTAGTTTTTATTTTGCAAAATAATTTGAGGATTTAAGTGATTTTTTTATATCAAATACATTTATATGTTATGAGTAGATAATATCTACAATAACTGGGAATAGAAATGGTAATGCCAAAAATGGTGTTCATAGATTATATGCATAGCTATCAACTTCCAAGCCTTTTTTCTACACACAGTAAATACAGTACTCACCAAGACCTCGAAAACATATAAAGTTGTGACTGATAAAAAAAATTTTATTTTTTATTTCACTTTATTTATATATTTGTTATGATTATGCAAAATAGATAAGGCAAAGGAAAATCCTATAATTTAGTTTTTTAGCATTGGTAATTCAATTCGTCTGAATCATCATTTTTATTCTGATTTTTGATCCCCTCCACTCGATATTTTTTCAAATCTGAAATTTGAGAATTTACTTCGAACTTAATTACGGATACAATATTGTATTTGTACAGAAAATAAAATTATTGTTGATCGTTTTTAATTTGGTAAACCTAGTCGCATTTGAATAGAAATTCCCTGCGTTCAGGCTTTTTTTTTAATTGTTTATACAAATGGATCAACTTACACGCTCATTATAGCTTTAATTTCATAAGTGGTTAGATTTTACATATTGAAGTGTTCAAAAATCTAAACATTTTTATCAATTGTACGTGCACTTTTCTGAAAAAAGGTATGGATATAACAATAAATCACAAGGATTTGTTTTAAGTTATATTTTTATTAGGAGGTATTTTAATTCATAAAATAAATGAACACTTTAATCAAGATGAATACATAACTGGTTATAAATATTCTTTTTTTTTTGCCAAGGATAAAAAAAGGAATATTAAGAGAAAAGAGTTTAGAAGCCGGTGTTGGAAACTGCTTGGTGAACAGGTGGTTGCTATGATACACCTGCCTCTACACGCTTTTATTATTTAAATTATTTTGTATTTAATATTGTCGTCGTTAATAATTGTGTATTATTGTTGACTTTTTTTTTATTATTTTCATTTTTTTTTTTTTTTTTTTTTTTTTTGCACCAGAGTAAGATAACAGCTAATCAATTGACTGATAGGCATTCTAGAAATTTGTTTCGTATTTTTTTAATTTTTTTTTTTTTAGGTTGTGTTGTACACATCTATAGTTATGGTGTAAATTTTACCTGTATTCCTGGATGCGGCCAAGGCGCAAAAAGCTACGACCCAGAGAATCCTCATCTCGATCACAAGACACTCATACACACAATGTCAGCTACCATACACACACGGAGCGACTCAGAAGTACATGGCACGAGCGCGAAAGCTATTGGATGTTTTGGGACTGTACGACCTGCCTGGGTGAGGGTCCGGCAGCGACTGACTTGCAACCGCCCGGTTCCCCACCACCCCCTCCCCACTCCTGGTGATTAGAGTGCCGAAGGGGGAACAGGACACAGCACTGAGGGGAATAGTCAATGCCAGGTGGAAAAATAACTAGGAGTATGGCAACTGTCTAGGTCCTCGTTAAGAAAGTACATGGTGGGTCAACTTAAACCACTTCTGAGAAGGAGTTGATCGGGGGGGTACGGTCAAATAAATACTAAATTATACAAATGGTATTATTTAATTTTTGCCCACGTTTCGACCCACTTTTCAGGTCTTCATTAGAACTACAAAAGATACAAAACATGGTGAAAATAAAATAAATGAATATAAGTAGATATAAAATAAGAAGAAGTTGCCTGATAAAGAAATAAAAAGATGATATCAGAGATATAGTGGGTGACAATGTAGTTAAAATATCAAGTATTATATATATAGAAGATACAAATAAAAATGGAAAATTTATTTGTATCTTATATATATATATATATATATATATATTATATATATATTTATATATATATATATAATACTTGATATTTTAACTATATTGTCACCCACTATATCTCTAATATCATCTTTTTATTTCTTTATCAGAAAACTTATTCTTATTTTATATCTACTTATATTCATTTATTTTATTTTCACCATGTTTTGTATCTTTTGTAGTCCTGATGAAGACCTGCAAAGTAGGTCGAAACGTCGTCAAAAATTAAATAATACTATTTCTATAATTTAGTATTTATTTGACCGCACCCCCCAATCAACTCCTTCTCATATTATATCACGGTCAACCAACGTCATTAAACAACTTATCATATTGCTTCGGGTACGAAGTCCAGTTCTGTTACTATTAACTCTTCACTTAGATACTTCGATATTTTTTTAATATTTACTGTTTTTTTTTTTTCAATAAAGGTGAATTGAGGTATGTGCAACCACAGGGCAAATACGGCCATGGTTGGTTTTTGTCATGAAAAGTGATTATTTTTTTAGAAAAAAAAAAAACCACTTGGTTTATAATTTTAGAACATTTTCTTTAAATTTCCGACAAGAAGACTGAGCTTATACATATTGTTTTTTCAAAATGCTTACATTTTCGCACTCAAATAAAGTTCGACAACGAAATTTTGGTATTTTTGACTTTCAACCAGGATAACCTAACTTTGTATAAAGGTTAATGTGTGATTTTCAGAAATATACTTTATTTTGGTAATGGATTAATATGTTTAAAAAGAGGGCCGTGGCTGCACTTGCCCCCTTATTTTTTAACACGGGGTAAATGCACCTTTCCGGGTGAGGTCGCGATGGCCGAGTGTGTTGAAGTGTTGCACCGTTTAAGCGACGCCGGTTCGAATCTGGCCTGATAGTGGTTGACTTTTATTTCGTGGAGGACTCACGGAATGAAACTCGACTCTCCCACTCTGATTAGAATAGGTTTGGTTGTACCTCTAGAGTAGTGTTGCCCAAATGCGAGACCGAAACGAGTCTTGGTCTTGCAAACTCAATCTTGGTCATAGTCTTGGTCTTGCGCAAGGGTCTCGCAACAGTCTTATTAAATTATTAGTATAGAGATATTGTCATTTTTTAGATAAAAGAAACCTAACCAAGTCTGAATGAAAAGTTAGAGGAGTTTAATGCAAAAGTATATTGATTATACCAATAATTAACATATAGTAACTAAGATTGTCAAGTATTAGTAACTATTTTGCCTTACTTTTTATTCAAAATATCGATATATTTTACCCGTCCTGGTCTTGGTCTTGCAACAGTTAGGCGTACTTGGTCTTGGTCTTGTAAAGTGCAAGACCAAGACCGATTTTGGGTAACACTACTCTAGAGTAACCCATTGGTATGGCAGCAGGTGAGTAGGGGGTTATCCAATAAAAAAAAAGTGTACCCTCCAGGTTTCACTTACCCTACATTTTTTTTTACTCTACCTAGCCATTTTTGACATACGGGTTGCACTTTCTCCACAGTAAATCTTTCTCAGTTTAGCTAAATATAATCAAGAAATCACACAAAATCTGATCGGAATATTTTTCCGATCACTTCCTCGTAATTCACGAAAAAGTGCGTATCTCCCAAATGGTTTAACATAATAAAAGTGAAAAAAAAAGAATGGCAGAATAATTGAAAAACAAGCTATAATACACTTACCCCACTGTTATTTATATTGCCTCTTATGGAGGATCCTAGAGTGAAGTCGCACTTAACCTGAATGGGGATGCATGGGGTAAGCGCGACCAATCACTTGCGGATCCATGATTTCATTTTGGGAGAGGGGCTTCAGCCCGAGAGATTTTTTTTCACATATATAACGATAATTACTTTGGAAAAAAAATAAAGATACTATTAAAATAACAGAGTAGTAGAGAAGATACTATAAGAAGAATTAAATGTAATTACACGAAAAATAATACTTTAAGAGATAACATTTTAATATTTTTGTCCATAAAACGTGGTTAAATTATACCATTTTGAGGAGAGGAAGAGGACTTCAGCCCGAAAGAGTACTCCCTCTTAGATTTTAAATTTGTAGAAAATGATAAAAATATTCTAATTGTAGCCAATAACCCTAAATACTATGTGCTGAGTTATATTCCCATATTCCTAATAATTACCCCACAGCAACAGTTTAAAATGAAAAAAATAAATAAACCTGCTTGCAACTAACCCACTTCACCCTACCTCTATATGAGCAGCTATTGTGATGGTGAACAATAACGAATTCGAGATTTCATCGAAAATACATGTTTTAAGGTCTCTTGAGTACAGATAATTGTCCTATGTGCGTGTTTTTGTATTTATGTGAACAGCAATGCTAAATAAATAAATAAATAACAATAGCTTTTTTAGCTAAACGAAGGTTCGATGCCGACACCACCAATCGCTGTCTACACACCTTTCCCCACCGGTCGCCGTCTAAACGTAATCTATCATGATCAGCTTTATCGCAATTTTTTCAAGTTAGCTTCGGTCTAGCCTTTGGGCGTTCGCTAGTCTTCTATGTCACATGTACCACAGTTAACATAAAAACAAAAATAATAAGTAAAAAAAAAAAAAGACTGCAGAAATCGGTATATGTTATCCTAAGACCAGTCAACGTTTGGCCATTTCAAGTATCATCAAGACAGAAACCTGATACAATTATAACCTTAGTTTGATTATAACCTTTATCAGCTGTGTTGCCTTCCTTCCACTATTCGATTGGATGTCACGGAGTCATGTGATTTTCTATACGATTTTCCTTTCTGTTCTAATGTTGCCTTAACTGGCGAAGGTTGTATTATTATTTATATGCATTTTGAAGACATAAAGTTGTGTGATTCGATTTTTTCCAATTATAACCTAACATACTATAATACCGGTATTATGTAACCGAAACATTATCCCCAAAACAAAAAAAAAATCTACAATACTATAGTACTGAGCATTATGACATATGGGTCAGAAACTTGGAT